AACTTGACAATTCGATTTGCATTCGCATAAGAAACAGCTTCATTCAAACACCTACCGTTTATTTGTTGTAAGTATTTAAGAGTGTCATCAACTGCTGAATCGAGAAGACGTACATGTTCATTGCTCCTTCGTGTTGTATAAGGAGCTCGCGGATGGCTTGCATAACAGAGTCATTCGACACGTTCGTATAGAGGGCAGTGACGTCGAAAGACTCCACCACGTACGCACTGTTGGGTCGCACGTTACGTAGATGATCCAGAAACATTTGGGTGTTCGTTAGATGTTGTGTGTTGAATTCGGCAGCGATAATTGAAATACCACCGAGTAATCTAAGACGCCAGCTAGTTCGTGTCCGCCTATACGACTGTTCATGTGCAACGCAAAATTGCATAATTTGCCCCAATGGTGGAGACGGTGACTGCGTGAGGTCGGGAATACTTTATCTGATCTCCTGTAAGACGTGCGGTGACTAATACATTGGCGAAACGGACAGACCACTCTGCATACGTATAAAAGAACACCTTGTCGGCAAACGTAAACCAAATACTCCACTAGGCGAGAACACAAGCGCGCAAAACTCTAGAGGCATTCCGGATTAATTCCAAGAATCCGAAAATGAACCACAGCGAGGAATGCCTCATTATCATGCGTGATATTGGACAGTATATAAACCTGTTATTCTGATGAGATTGGCACAATACGATTCCGTGTGAACTCTGTGCGGCTGGTCTCCACGTGACATATTTAGGTGGAAGACTTTCAGAAAGCAGTGAGTGTGCAAAGACTCTGTGTTCAATGTGAATGAAATTTTGGTTCAGCATTTCCTCTGTTTGGTTATGGAGGTGTTTGGCTGTGTAGGTTGCAGTCAACTTGACCTTTCAACGTCAGCTTGTAGATAAATGAAGAAATAAAATAGCACCTCGTGTTTGCTGAACAGAAGTAGAAAGAATTATTCAATCAATGCCGAGGTTAATAGAAAGTCGGACTTGGGGGTTACTACAAAACCAATAACCGTCTGCATGGTAGAACACCTCTAACAACAGCCGCTAATGGGGACTTACGACCATGCATGAACGGGTTTGGTCAATAATATTGGTTTCGAGATACTATCCCGTTTTCCAGGTTGAGATGCATTTTCTATAAGTTATAACATGTTTTGCAAAATTTGCAACTGCTTCATGGCTTCAAGAGTTCCCATAAATCCATCAAATCAGTAACTGATTCGTCGGTATTGATTTTTGTGCATTTCTCACATGAATCCTTCTGATTATATTCATGCCACATCGTGAAATACTTAATGAGCTCATTGTTCATGCTCTCACACCACTTGATATCGTTTGCTAATACACTGTTCCGACCCTTGAGTAGTCGGAATACTAAAAGTTGGAATGAAAAACTTGTGAGATGCTCTGAAACACCAAGAAAATAGTGCTTAGAAGAGGCACACTTAGTTAACAGAATATTTCTTCGACATAGATGTTGTGAACTCCAGTCGCAACGTATGTCTCGAGAACCTGGAAAAGGTAGAAGACTTAACTGGGGTAGGTCACGACTGCTGTTGTACATGACAACATGTCTGACCTCTGAAGGGTTGGACGCGTTTTTATTTTTACGAAAACCATAGAACATGGAGAGCTAGTTTAGTTTTGCAAGACGTCGACTTTACAATGGAATGACCACTAATCCATTTACCTAACGTCATCACAGTTTAACTCAAATTGGAGTACGCATGAATGGGAATTGTATGATTGCCTGATTTAGCAATGTCTCGATCTCCTTTGTGAGATGCTAATGCTCATGGATTCCATCCCAAGCTCTAAAGGACATGTGGGGAATAGTGAATGGAGGCGACTCCGAAACGCGTCCATACTTCTCCAATATTTCATTGGTGGCTTCTGGCCTATTGACGTGCAGAATTCAGTTCTCAAATAGGCAGACATGGATGAACTGCAGCAGTAGCATGAAATGCATCCTGTCAATTCACGTGCGTCTCAGCAGATCTTTTGACTTTTGCACTTTTTTGACTTAAGTTGGACTATGATTTTTTCTTCACTCATTTAAACAGATTTTACTGCACACAAAAAGAAACATTACTAAGAAAAGAATGGTGTCAGACAGCCCTAGACAATATATTTCGTTTAAAACCACATATTTAATATTTGGATACTATACCAACAAAAATTTTTAAGACAGCTCATTAACAAATCGAACATTTTAGACTTAACAAATCAACGAAATTTCTCAGTGGTCGTTGCAAGAGTCAAGCTGATAAGCACTTTGACATCTCCAACAAAAATAGTAGCAAATTTTTGTTGGTCGATTGGCAATTCGCTACTCAATCGCCTTAGTTGTACAATCCTTAGGTGTTTGGGGAAGTACCACGTACAGTTATTAAGGTAGATGAAATGCTGCAATAGTAGCCCCGAATCAACTCGTTAATGGCTCAATGGTCAAGAAATAACTTTTTAAAAATGGAAAGACAGTTATGTACTTTACGACCTTAACTAAGCTCGTGGCTGGATGTGGCTGCCGAGGATCACATTTTTCTTTTTTTTTTAATTTTTCCTTTACATGGTTTGACTTCAGATATTTCATTAATACTAGCACTTGTTTCATTCGGTTTGTTGTCGTGCATAAATCAGACTTGGTGGTGTTTCGATTTACGTGCCTGACTTCCACTTGAATGCTTTGTTTTACTCACGAATATCTTTGGATAGTCGTCCAAGTATTCAACATGAACAAGAGGCAACAACTATGGGCCATTTGGAGCTTTTCCAGACAAGTTTAATACTATTTTTGTGAATCTGAAGCGACGTTACTTCTGGCTTTCTCGGTGCAGTGTCGAACCAAGAACTATGCATCTATTGCACAACATGTTAGAGCATCATGCTTTCTGTGTGCCGAAGATCATAAAGGCAGCATCAAAATCCATTTTTCTAGTTACACGGTACTCTTTTGTTAACACTCTCTGCATCCACAAGCATAGGCCGAAGTTTTCCTTTTCTAAGTGATGCCTTTTACAGGGAATGGTTATAACTTCACATTGGTAAGCACCCTAAACAAGAATTTCACCCTCTTTTCTCCTTTATTGTAGTAAGTTCTTAATAATTCTGACCCCATTCCTTGAATCATTTTTATTGCATTGTTTAGGGTCTGTCACTGACATTTCAACAATGGAATTAACAGAAAGAAAAGAATGTAATATTTTCAAGTGTTTGTCATTTGTCGTTCGACGAAACCGGACATAAAAATGGCTTCTGAATACGTAATCCTTCTTGATGAGCTTACACGAGGTTGATAAATACATTTATTTTCAGCTGACGTTCCAACGACTTCGCCTTCGTCAGAGTCGATGATCCGAGTCGATGGTCTACGCTTGTTATCCGTCTCGATGTGGCTGCTACGCCTTCGTGTTTTTCAGGTCTTCCTACTTGGTGATGCCCTTTTATACACGATGCTGATGGCTATAATGTCCGGTGATAACAACTTGTTTGATGGCTTTGCTTACTACCGTATTATTTTTTATCACTGTTATTTTTGGTACTATCGCTTTGTACGCTTCTTAAAGAGGCTCTAGTTAACAGGTATTCGAGACCTCACTTTATGTACAGCTTGGGAAGAAAAGTTCAACTTCAATAAAACCTTGAGAAGCGCTCAAAGTTTGTGACAAAAAAAACGAAGCACTGAATGCGAACGGTGTAGCTGGCTCCACAGTACTTTTTAGGAAATACCACCCAACTAGAAGTTAGCAGACTTATGCCAAGATGCATTGCTCTCTTAAAGGAAGATTAGCACTAAAGCGGCGAATCTGCCTTCGAGCCAAATGGGTCGCTGTCCTGTGAGGCCCAAGATAGGAGTATTTTCGGGCTAAGGTTGTACTAATCGACGGCAGTGAATCTTGCCCAACCATTAAATGCGACTTGAATAAAGATTATGCTTGGAACTGCGTGAGCGTGATGAAAATGAGCTCTCTCAATAGGAAAGAATTTGAGCTAAATTTTTATCACATTAAACCTTATTCAGATACAGGCCAGTTAGGTTAAATGGGGCTGTTCACACAATGAATTGCAATACTCAGAAGCTATTGAAAACTTTAGCAAGAACAATAGCTAGAACGTATGAAAAACAGAAAATCACCTTGGGATAAGATGTAAAGATGGAAATAACCTTGGCCAAACTCAGTAGCTTAGTCTCAGTAGGTTCTAGCCAGGTGCTTATTTAAGGCAAGAAGTGGGAATGAGAAGCAGTGGTGTGTTTTTTCAATATTCAAGCTATGACTGCCAAGTATGAAACATTTTTCTTGTAATATACGATTGCGAGGCGCCTGCTCTAATTGTCAGGGCTCCTTGAAGAGCCATTTTCTCTACGAAAAAATGAACACAGTGATGTGAAAATAATAATTTTAACCAAAACAGATAGGCAAGTGATAAAACTTCTTACAAATATGAAATATTAAAACAAAACGAGAACTTTACATTGTGTGCCTTTGTGTAACTTTCTTGCTCTTAGAGGCTACAGAACATTCTTCGGAACTCAATGAGCCATGAAATGCTTTCTAGAATTTCTTGCGTCCGTGAATGCCTGGCAACGATACTAAATAGCCTTAGATCTCAAGACCACATCTGCTAATGAACCTGAAGCAGTAAGTCACGGTGATGCTTGATTGTTGTTGACACTCGTCTTTGACTGGACGAGATCTCCTTTACGCAGATTCACTCGTCCGAAACCACCACCGTACACGTCGGCATTCGCACGTGCAAATGTGGCCAGTGAACGTATTGTGAGCCCATTGAGCATCACAGTAGCCTCGTTCTTAAACACATGGACTCTTTAGAAATTCGATAGACCTAGTTTCAATTAACCTCGGCATTTTACGTGGTTCGTAAAATAATGTAAGTTATTTTGAAGTAATATTTTTACTTTCGCTTAATCTGAGCTCTCTTTGAAGATAGTAGCACCTCTACATTTCTGAGAACTTCTTTAAAAAACTGACCAGACGATGTTTTCTGTCTTATACTGCAGTTAGCTCGAGCTACCTTCCATTAGTGAAGATTGGTTTGTTTATTACTATTAAAATCTTTTTTCACCACACAAAGTTCAAAAATTTTGATATATTATCAAAGAAACAAGCTTCACAGAGTTTAACCCACCTCTTCATCGTACTTGTTGATGCGAGAGCATGCACTGCATCGACTGATTTTTCGTGCCGGACGCTGTATTGCAGGCTGAAAATATGACACTATTTCATCCTGTACCTATAGACCAATGAAGATTTTTAGAAGAACGAATCCTTTTAGTTAATAAATTTTTTAGGATTTTAATGATACTGAGATATTTGCAAAACTCCGGACCACCGGACCGCAGGTGTCTGCGGCGAGAACGAAAGCGCTATTGCCCTTACCGGGTAGTAACGTGTTCATCACCATACTATCTGGGTCTTTCGTTTCGCTCGTCTCTCAGTTGGCTGTATCGATCTTTGCCATCAGCAATCAATTCCGTCAATAAATTTTTAAGGACTAATCATCTTTATGCTACACTTTATCCTTTTACCTGTGAAGCAATGGAGGAATATTGCCGTTCGTTAATAGTCTTGGCGACATAAAAAAGTATGCTCATGCTATGCGATGGTTCTTAACTCAGAGGGCATTTCGGTAACTTCCAGATAAAAGGCCCGTCAGTAGCTCCGGCAAACGGCATCGGATGCGACCTGCTCTGGTCTGACCCCTCTACACTTGGAGATCGCTGGATTCTAAGTCACAGTGGTAGGTACTATACTGTTATTTTGAAAACAAGAAAATTCTGGTTCATGAAAGTCATGGAGAAGAAGAACTACTGATGTCCCACTATACATTTCCTGCTTGTGTATAACTTTTTGTGAAGGTTATCTCAGCAATGACGAAAACAACGCGGTTAAATATTTCAATATATTCTAAACATCACGCGTGTGGCGCAGCGGTCAGAGGCGCCCTACAGCATACACGTGGAATCGGTACCTGCGCCTATGGCCCACCAAGCCTTCCATATCTCCGGGGTCAGCAAATCGGTACCAGGCTTGTCTGGGAGGATAGCAGCACTGGCTCGATACATCGGTAGGCCACCGCTAGTCATTTGCTAGACCAGATTTGCATTCAACCACCTCCAAACGATGCTTAATGAAGTCGAATGCATGGCGCATACCCCTGGGATTGATCAACACCGAAAGCTTTATCCTTTCAACCTTTTACCTGCATGCCAGTAAAGATTTTTAAGAAAACGAATCCTTTAAGTTAACAAATTTATTGGGATTGTTCAGCTTTGCGTTATACTTTTGGGTCGATCTTATCCACTGATGTTTGCTGCGAAAGTTATGCCACAAATGGTTTAACCTATGCTCACAAGTCTTCTTAAAAACTTTTAAAAGCGAATTGGTTGTTAAAGATCCAATAAATAGCTGTCGACTTGGCCAAAAATGGAGCAATAAGCTGACGAGAACACGAAGGTTGTTGTTGGTTGGTGTACAGGAACTATTTTAGTCGAATATCACAAGGCGGACAGAATACGCTTCATTACATAAGAAAGAAACACAAAGGCGCTTTCGTAACTCCGATCACTTCGTCAACGCCTCTATTCACCCGAAACTGTGCAATAAGTTGAGGTGCTCCAATGTTGTCGCCTAAATCATGCTTTCGGGCAGACTTCCGAGTCAGTGGGACGGCTTCGGGAAATTTGAACTGCTTTGTCTAGTTCGATGTTGCGCATGTGGTAAGGTTTCAGAAAACATCGCTCAAGCGCTATGTTGGTGCTGCGGAGAGAGAGCTTTCAACATGTTGAAGGTATCAACTCAAGTATCTGCTGTATAAAGGAGCGCTCAAAGTATCTACATCAAAGAGACCGAAGAGATTTGGGGGCGCCAGTTGATCGTAGCGCAAAGGAAACCACTCTTTGCTTTGATGATCGCTCTTCGTGCACTTATGGAGTGGTCTTGGTAATCGGAAAACCATACATTTTGTTCTTCATCGAATCGTGCGTTGTCAAAAAAGTGGATTTTCATCGACTTCACTACAGACAATCACTACAGAAATTTGACAGGCACACACAGCGCCTACCCGAAATGCGCAGCTCTTAAATACATCGATAGTGAACAAAAATAGGCGGGTCACGTGATGATAGAAACAGAAGAACACCATTTTCATAACATGGAGAACTAACGAAAGCACGAAATTTACGATGAAGCGCTTATTAAAGACTTTTAGGCGATATTTTTGGAAATATCGAAAACCCGCAGCATGTTCAAAATCTGCGGGAGAAAGAGCTCATGGGGCTCACAATGCTCCACATCCATTCTTCCAGATCGAGATAATCAAAGAGCCTAGTTCGACATCTCCACTTATTAAAAATCCTCCTGTAGCATCTTTGTTTCTCTAATAAACTTGAAACATGTGTTTGCCTAAAAGTTCCAAATCGAGAGTGTATTGTAAAATACTGAGCATTTCAGGTGTTTTCGCTTCCATAGAATTCTGTACCTCTTCCTTTTCAGGTTGAATTTTTGTAGTGAGTTGATCGAGTTTGTGGTCCAACAGTGTGAAAGCACCTATGAAAAACACTAATGAAGAGATTTTTTAAGCGAATAAGGCAATCATTTTCTTAAATTGGCGATAAAAAATGTTGGACATAACGTTATTAATGTCGACGAACGTACCGAATATGCCGTTTTCAATGAAGATGTACGTTACTCGATTAACGACCTTCATTACCGGCGAGCCAAAAAAGAACAGTGTTGAGATGGCAGGATGGAACTGAATGACCAGATGGTCTATAAGCAAACTTCTTAGCTCTTAGCTAAGCAATAATGAAAACTGTTACAGTCTCATCAAGGTATCAATCAATGTATGAAATTCAACGTTGTTTCCGCATTTAGAAAAGGCTGTAAAAGTTTAGGAAATCCAGTATTCTTCAAGGCACCAGTTTTTGGCAAAAAATATCGCAGAGTTTTGTTCAGCCTGATAATTCGGACGAAAATGTTTTCAGTGTAACGCTGACTATTTCTGCCTTTTAGCATATAAAAACAAACCACAAAAGGACTCAAAAATTGGTTTTTTCCTCTATGCTAAATCCTTAGGCGTCACATTTCCCATCAAACGCATTAATTTGGCCCTCATTTGAAACCACATGAAACTGTGATGATATTAAATGCAGCACCCAATTCTACAATACTTCACACGGAAATATTATGACTAGGTTGATTTACCACTTCTAAGGAAAGAAGTTACAAATCTGCACGCCTTAAGGAAGTGCCGTCGGAGTGTATGTACTTACGGTAAGGTATTGAAACTCGGACCTTAGGAGTTAGTTGTCAGAAAATAAGATTGATAAGTCATCAGTTACCGTTGCGTTATTTGGCATGATGTCACCCAATCCAATAGTGCTCAGAGAAATGTATGAAAAATAAAAAGCAATGAAGAACGACACGCCCGTGTGTGGAGTATCACCGTACCAATCGTCGAGCAGGTAAACGAAGACAGAAGAAACCAACAGATAGCCTGAAAAGCTGGTGAAATCCTTGGTGGATATCACAATTCCGAGATCGTGGGCCTAGTTTAAATCATACCATAAGCAAAGTCAAACTCTCTATCACGATTCGCTCAGAACATCATATGAAAAAACTACTCAACAGCATTGATTGTTCAAATCAAACCTTGATAAAGATTGATCGTTTGAAATGAAATCAACCTCAAGCAGTGACTTGGAGCACAAATAAAGCTTTAACTCACCGGCCAACAATGAGATACAGAATTTTATTGGCAAGGATATCATAGTATCTTCAGGCTGCTCAATATAGCCCATGGTTCTCCTTAAAAGGAATAAAATCAATTGAGAACCGTTTTGCTCAGCACTTATTCACTACATATCTACCACATTACCATCAGAAAAAAGTGTTAGGGAAGCACCTACTACTTATGTTTATTTTACTTCAAAAAATAATTCAATTCTGCAAAGGTATGGCGCCTGTAGCGCATTTGTCGGAGACCCTCCCCTCCAAGAGATAGGATCGATCCCCGAGCGCTAGGGCCACCAAGCTCTCCATCCCTCCGCTGTCGGTAAACTGGTGCAAGACTTGTCTGGGAGGATAGCAGCACTGGCTAGACACATCGTAGGTCACCGCGAGGCATTGTAAAGACCGTATCTGCATTCAGTCACCTCCAACGATGCTTGATAAAGTCGAATACATGTAGCATCCCTCAGAGATACGGTCTATTTATTTACAATGATTTCACAAATAATAATATATTTCAAGAAGAACGAAAAATGTTTGAAATAACTGAGTGCTGAGGGAATTGTTCTATAACATCGTCATCGATCGATGGATTAGCCAGAATTGCCCGTTGTGATGACGAGGGTGCACTCTATGACATTCTTATTGCAGAATGGAAAACGATGGGGACTACTATTGAACTTCAATGAACGGAGTAGAGGATAGATCCTCAAGCCGCGAGTCAAGTCCGTTTGCGAGATCGACTATGTCTGTTTGTAATGGAATTGTGAAGTGAATGAAAGTTCTAGGACAATGTATATGGTGGAAGGAGAAAGCCACACGACGGGTGGGAACGGGACGGTAAAATATCTAGTCATGTATCTGGAGTTCTACAAAGATTATTGTGCTAAACAAAATTCTAGTAGTATGAAACGAAAAACTCCTAAACACATAAATTCACCTGTGGTAGACTAGAGCATGCACGTAGATCTTTGTGAGGTGAACAAGCAACCATTGGCCAAGGTCACGAACCACAACTAATGTGACGGGAATTGTTAATACTGAATACCAGATAGCACAGAATTGCCCTAGCATTGACTCGGGTGCTATTGAACCTGAAGATTTTATCGCTATGAGTTCACATAAAGCTACACTTTTCTCGTAATTTCACCTCATATTTTATCGCTTCCTTTCCGGTAAAACTCCATCACATAACCACAATGATGACGGTGAGATATTTGCGAAACTTGGACTCTTCCCCACTAAGCTTCAAACCCTCCATTAGCCTTTCCGGGGGCTCATGTGCTGTCTGCTGCACGACCCAGAGACTTACTTTGATATGAAAAAGAAAGGAATGAGAACGGCAAAAATGTTCTGCAAATATCTCAGCATTATTGTGGCTGTATTTCGCATAATACCTTGCAGTGGAAAGTAAGAGGCAGTAAGTAAAAAGCTGTTCATCGTCAATCGTGCAGTTCGTTTTACAGCTACTTTTTGTGCATTAGGATGGCAAACTTGTTAAATATTTATAATACTGCATTTACCGTATCCAGTAGTAGTGTACAGATTCATTGAGAAAAAAATTGCGCTGCCATAGGTCCATTTGAGATTTGCAGGATCCAATGATTTGTAGTAGGTACTAATGGCGTAGAGTGACTCGTTCTTTAGTAACGAAACATAGGCTGACTGAAAGTAGTAGACTTTGCAACAAGAGAAAAATTAGAGCAAGGCATTTTGGACCGCCTTCATAACCTGTAACCTCGCTCATAGTTGATTTACTTAAGTGGGCACACACCAAAGACCCCATGCATTCATGCCACCACTCGAGCTACCCAGCTAGTACCACTCATTCGGAGGAAACCAAAATACCACAATTCTTGTATGTATATATGAAAATTTTTGCTGCCACTGGAAAGAATGCAGACACCGGTGGCTTGCCAGACTTTGCAGTGGCAAGAGCTATTTTTAGTTTAGCAGCATCGATCTTCCACGCTACAGAAAAAATTCTTCCTCTGTACATCACAGCTCGACAGTTTAGACAACTTCCAGCCGAAATAAAATCATAAATCAGTAGTGCAGTGGTGCGTTCAGAAAAAAAGATCAGTTCCTTAGAAAACAGCTAAACCCACCTTAACAAGTTCTTCTGCCCGCCGACTATCAATTACCAAGTTTCTCTGGTTTTTTAGGAGTATTAGTTGTTCGGCGATAAGCTTCACTTCGTAATCAAGGGCTCTCTTCTTTGCTGCCACTACCTTGACAAAATAAAACTTTCTACAAAATTTACATCGACAACTTTGTCTACAATTTAGGCGAAATCAAGGAAGAATGAAGTGTCAAATATGCTAGTCTTGAATAATATGTTTTGATTCACTGATAAGACTGTGCGGAGTTGTAACGAACATTTATTACGACGGTTGTTAATGTGATATCCCCTTCAGGTTCGCGATGATTCCGGTCAAGTGTCCTCAAAGGCTGTTTCTCCTTGATATGTAGATCTTCGTAGCCGTCACAGCGAGTCAAACCCACTCCAGTCGAGCACTGCACTAATGAAGTAACGTAACCCAGCACCACCATTTATACAGGATAGGTGAGTAAACGTTTGTGATAATGTCGTGTGAACTTATCAGTAAAGCAAGACATTGGTCATCATTGACGACATTAAATGAAATTCGGGAGTGGAAGTATGAATGTTATGTTGAGAAATTTCTAACCTAGCAGAAATGGTTTTGCTACTATCAGCAGTTACAAACCTTATGCTCATATCTGGTCTCAATGCTGAAAAACATAACTCCTCCTAGTAACGTGTAGACAAGCACAAGGAGAAGCATGCATAAGTGCCGAAAGCCGATTTGCCCTCGATTATGTACCAACCAATAAATGGATTGACTGAATTCTAGAAGATTTCGTAAATTTTCCTGTAGGACAGGGTTCTCAAAAATTTCCATACATAGAATAAACTGCTCCAAACGGTCATTAAAAAAATCACATAAATGAAATTGTTAGCATACTTCTCATCGAAGGGGGAGGCGGTAAAATACCAATTGGCTTCTGTTCATTGGAAATGGTAGAACTTATTGAACTGTTTGCAGTGTGGTGTTTTAGCGAATCGTCACTCTCTGGAAAAACTCCTTTATTGAGAAATAAGTTAACGTTATGGTTATTCTCCGACATTAACACTCTGTCAACAGCTTATGAGACCTAGCGATTGCTTTTCCTAATAGCAACCGCTAACAGGTGGAACTCTAACTCTGTAGAAGGAGTGGAGATGATTGATAGAGAATTGGAGTCCTCACTTACTTTTGTTACCTGACGAACGTCTTCTTCTATTTCTGAGAGTCCCATTACCAGGAAAGAAAGGTGCTTTTCTTAGCGTTTGTTTGGAAAGACTTCGTGAGCGAAATTTTCTAAAATAGCTTAGTCGGAAAGCTAACAATGTGTACATGGGTATTAGACCGTATTTCTAGAATAAATTAAAAAGAAAAACAAGTGAAAGTATATATTTTCGTAAGGCATAAAAGCTTGAGTTCACTGTGTTCTAACAGTGAAACTGCTGGTGCATATCTCAGCTTAATGAAGCATTGCTTTTTTGGAAACCCTAATTGATTCCGATGTTAGACTAAAGGACTTGTCCAGACCGCGAAGCCGAGCCGCTCAACTGATGGGAACCGTAAACATGCCACTCACTGTCTGTTGGCTTGCCAAGTTATTATTTGAACTCAATCTATTTTCAATGATGCTGAGATATTTTCAAAACTCGGGACCGTAGGTGTCTGCGGTAGGAAACCAACGCGCTGTTGTCCTTTCCGGGTAGTAACGCGTTCACCACCACACCGTGCGGGTCCTTCGTTTCGCCTGTCTCTCAACTAGTTCTATCGATCTCAATCTATTTTAAGTAAAGAATTTGGCGACCTGGCAAAAGGCGAGTGTAGCAGCTTTTTTAAAGACACTGACCAACTTCAAACACTCTAATTCATTCTTTTTTTTCATAATAAATAAAATAAAAACAAAAACGTGTTCTTGAAAGTTGCTTGAAAGAGGCCGCTTTCAACCAGTGTTCTATACAACGTGAAAATTACAAAACATGATTGTCCCAAGCCGTGGACCAAATTCTGATCGTCTTCAAGGCTTACTTAATTTTCTGGTTTGGACTCGTAGATGTGCTAAATGATCGGTGCAGTCTGTTGGAAGTCAAGGCGTGAAGAGGGCTATCCACTTTATTAACTTGGCCATCTGCTTCTGCAAATTGTATTAGATATCTTCGTGTTGTCATCTACATATTGAGAAATAGAATGCTTTTTCCTCCTAAAAACAAGGCTAGATGACCATTTTGGCTCATGGACGATATTTACTGCAAAAGATATAGTAAGCAGTTTATCTTAAAATAATCGAATTAACAGCTCATAAGAAATAAATTCATCTATGAGGTTCATAAACTTCTATTCCGTTCTTCGTTCTACACCTTACTCTTCCCATTTGGAGAACGAAGACGAGGATGCGGAAGAAAAAAGCCAAGGTGCATCTGGAACAAATAGGAAAAAGCAAATGAACATTTTCCACACACACGCTTCGTAACGTAGTGATCGGAACTGAGTACGTCTGCAGATTTCTTCTCGTTTGATGGACATGCGTAAAGTTGCTCTTTACTTACTTGATACTTGAATGGCGAGTCCTCACTGGCTGTGCGGACCGCAGCATAATCTCCATTTTTCGGAAATTTGCTGGTTAAGCCATTATGGTTTCTTGGGGTCCCGAGGTCAGCCTGGCCAAAGTCTGCCCCAGATCTTCACCACCACAGGTAGTCGCAGCCCTTGTGGATGAGAGGAAGATTTACCACTATGCGACCGTGATACCAGGGCTGTGGTGGATTCTGGTAATGGTTTATTCTTAGCTAGGCTTCTTGATGGAAACGTCAGACTCCTTATCAGCTTGGGAGACCCTGTCAGGGGATGGATCCCCCGCTGTACATCGCAGTCCGACCCCAGAAAAACTTCCCAGCCACGATGAGGCGGTAAACCGTTGGGAGGAATTGCTCCTTAGCGTTAGTAAATTCAGTTGAAAAGATAGAAACTTAAAAAAACCGTATTCGAAGATAAAAACAGTTGAAATATTCAGAAACAGAAAATAGGAAAATATTCCTGTTTCCTTAGGGGCACTCTCGGAAGTTTCCCTCCTTTTTACAACCGCATCAACATTCTTTTATCAGGACGGTGGTGGATCCTGGTAAGTTGATCAACTTTTCCTGCATTTTTTTTTTGGAAACATGGCATCTATCATCGGTGAATTTCTTAAGATACAGTAATGTTGAGTGCATGTAGCGCAGTGGTTAGGGGTGCCCTAAAACACACAGGATCATTAGTTCGATCCTATTCACCAAGCCCTCCATCCCTACGAATCCGCGTATTTATACCATACCTATCTGGGATTGTAGTAGCGCTAAACGGATACATTGGTAGGCCACATTATGCAGGCCAACTGTGCATTCTATTTGTTCTGCGACGCTTAATAAACCCGAATGTATGGCCCATCTCTCTATGGCTGATCAACGCCGAAAGATTTGTTCTCTCTTTCCCTAAATGATGTATTATTATAGATCTAACGCAAAAGTGTTGCACAGTACTCGGCATGATGGACCATTCGTGGATATGCGGTACTGGTTAGCAAGCTTTCACCTAGGCGGTCACTTTCCAATGGATGACACACTTTTACTAGCCTTAGTGCCCCGCACACTGGGTGCTTCCTCCTATGACGTCAGGCGGTGAGACGACCGGTGAGAGACCAGAAAATCTCGGGCTACGCAGACGTCACTGGAACCGGATATGACGAGCACACGCACGACACGCCATGGAGATTGCTTCTTAGTCTGCACGTGTATTGCCAGAACACTCTCCACAGATGCCGATTTTCACGCTCTTATTGTAGCCGCAGATCGCACTAAATTTCATGTGATCGCACTACTAGAAACAAATGTCAAGAAGACGGGCATAACGAAACGTCGGTGGTATAGGCTTTGTCGCACACCCGCCCACTGTACTTCTACTCATACGAGAACTTTTCCGTTCGCATAGCCGTCTTGCGTCTACAACTGTCGTCTCATGAGAAGATCACAATCGTGAACTGCTACTCAGCGACCGACGCAGCTGATGAGTGCGAATTAAATGCATTCTACTATCAGTTGGGGGAAATCATTTGAAATGATAGAGCATATCATAAATTTGTTGTCGAAGACTTCTTCGCTACGGGACCCTTGTGATCCGCGGAGAAAAGGTTCCGTCACGAAATGTCGGTGGTGTAGGCTTTGTCGTCCACTCGTCCACCCATCCTTCTCGTCGACTCATACGTGATCCTTTCCCCTCGCATAGCCGTCCTCCGTCTTCAACTGTCGGATCATAAGAATATCACTAACATCGGCTGCTACTCACCGACCGACGTAGCTGATAACAACGAATTAAATGCGTTCTACTATTAGTTGGAGGAAGTCATCCACAATGATAAAGCATATCATAAATTTGTTGTTGGAGACTTCAACGCCAGAATAGGAAAGGCCAACGAGAGCGAACACAGGATCGGAAATTTTGGATTAGCTGGAAGAAATGAGAATGGAAGCCGTCTCGCAAAACTCTTGTCTGCAGCACATCTCTTCCAAAAAAACTCGTTTTTCCAGAATTTCCAGAAGAAAGAAAGCCGGCGCTGGACATCGGAGTCTCCTAGCGGCATTGCTTATGTGGAGACCGACCATATCCTGATAAACAGAAGGTGGTGCTTACTTGACAAATCGGGAGTCCCGTCATTCTGTATTGCTTCCGATCATCGCCTTCTTCGCGCGAAGATTCGATTCAGCTGTAAGCTGGGAAAGAATCCGTGTCATCGACCACAAGGAAAAAGTCTAGTTGTATACGGCAAAAACATTTTGAATGAATTCCTATCCAAGTGTGACTGGCATATTAAAGAAAACCCGACCAAAGATTACGAGCTGCTTCTCGAAAGACTTAGAAGCTGTGCCGAATTCGCCTCAGTTCCTCAAGCAAGAAGATCGGATAGCATCTCCATTACTATTGAGGAGTAGCTCGAAAGGAGAAGGAAACTGAGGGTTGATCCTACTACAACACGTTTAACACGGCTACAAATAAATACAGAAGAACTTTGCAGGAAGACCTACATCGGTACAGGCAGACGAGACTACTGAACGTAGCAAAAAAAAAGAAGCAGTCTGACAAAATGTCTTCGGGACTTTTGTGACTATGGTATTCCGCTGTCCGCCCTGATGAGCGAGGGTGGGATCGTCAAAGCTTCCCACCATGATGTGGAAATAATAATGGAAACGTTCTACACCAACTTTTTCCATTCTACAATTCCCGCAATGGATGCTAAATATCCTCGCTGGTGAAAACCACCTGGAATTCTTCCGTCGTAGGTTCGAGTTTCGATAGAAAGAGTGGGAAAGGGCACAGCTCCAGCACCCGATAACATCACCGCCGATTTCTTGAGAGCTGGGAGCCACAAGTTACATGTACTTTTTGCAAACCATATGACAGCCAACCTCCAAAAGGAAAAAATCCCAGACCAGTAGAGCACGTTGCGCACAGTCATCCTGCCTAAAAAAGACCAAAGAGATCTTCGTATCTTCGTAATTGTCGTCCAATATGCTTGTTGAGTTTACTCTACAAACTGCTCACCAAGATTGTCCTCTCGCACACACCAAAGATATCGGAGGAGGTGCAAGCAGTGGAGCAACCAGAGTTTCAAAAATGATTTTGCTGCATGGACCACGTCCAAACCGTGTCCAAGGTCATCAAAGTTTGTCGGGAATACCACTTGTCTCTAATGCTAACCTTTACCAACTACGAAAAAGCGTTTGACGGTGTCGAAATGTATGCAGTCCAGTCAGGCCTCGTCGACCAAAGAGTGGACCCTTACTACATAAGAACTCTATCTGACTGTTATCGGA